AAAAAATTCAAACTCTAGAAGTTAAGTTTTTTTTGGACGGAGGGAGTACTTACGAAGTGGACATGTGCACTTAATTACCTGGGCAATGATCACGATGACGCCACCGACTAGGAAGAGCACCTTGCAGCCTTACCGCCGTAACGGTCGATGACGAGGGTGGAGAGCATGAGGCGGACAAGGCTGACGGTGCGGAACACCAGCGGGGGGGAGGAAGGAAATCACGATGATGCCCATGAGGTGGAAGAACATGGGCATGGCCACGGCGAACACCTGGTAATAAGGCCGGTACTCCCGCCTCGTCGCCATCCGCTGGAATGCGCCATCCTTCCCCGGGCGCGCCACCTCCACGGACATGAATTTCCTATGCGTACAACAAAGATTGTGATTGTTGTATTCGACGCTGATTCTCTTGCAGTTTTCATTATTTATTTTAGAGCCCTTATATTAACATACTAGTAAAATGCCCGTGCGTGGGAAGGAGAAGCTCGCGAGCAACGGCGTATGAGGCAGACGGATGGCGCGACATGGACTTGCGACGGTGTGCGGCTTCGGAGGGACGGAGTGTTATGAATTGAATGGCAAATCCTGAGGATGGTACGAATAGAATGACATATTTTGAAAATTCTCATTTGAGAGGGGGAGAGGGGAATTTCTGGGGGGGGGGTATAGTTGGCCATAAGGCCCGAGGCCCAAAGGCCCGGCCCACGGCACGCCTTTTTGGCCCGGCCCAAGCACGGCACGGCCCGACCGTCAGGTCGTGCTTGGGCCTCCCCACCGGCACGCTGGGTTGGCCCGGCACGGTCGGGCCGGCCCGGTGTAGCGCCCGTTCCGTCGTGGCGCCTAGCGGGAAAATTATCTCTTAAAAACCCTATCTGCGAAATTTGTTTCTTTGATTGTTGTCTAGTGTCCGTGCCCTCTCAAGATCTCAATCCCCGATCTATCGTCGAGTTCAAATCCGAATCCAAATCCTTCCAAATCGATTCCCTCCGCAAAGTTTAGTTTGCCTCCCCCGGGGTTCGATGGGCCGAATTCCGCTCGGCCCATCTCTCTCTCTCTCCCGGGCTCTCTTTTTCTCTCTCTCTTCCCCTCCCCCGGCGCGCTCCTTCCCCCCCCCCCGCTCAGCCTCGCCCGCGCGCTGCTCGCGCGTGCGAGAGCCACCCCGAGCGTCTCTCTCCCTCGCTGCCGCTCCCCGGGTGCCGTTGCTCGCGCGCGCCCGCGCCTGTCGCTGTTTCCCGCGCGCGCGGCCGACCGCTCGGTCGCCGCCGTCGTCAGCGCCTGCCCGCGCCTGTCGCCAGTGTCGCCGCTCCGCTCCAAACCGCCGCCGTCATCGCCGTCGTCATCGCCCGGCCCCCGCCACTCCGCGCGCAAGCCGCCAAGGGACGGAGGCAGCGCCCCCCCTCCCTCTGCCGCGTCGCCCCCGCTCCCCTCCTCCTCTTTCCCAAATCGGCAAAGGGGCAAGCCCCTTTTCCCCCTTCCTTTTCCCCTTTTCCTCCCCGCCGGCGTCATCCTCCCTGTCGCCAATTTGGCCGCTAGCCGGAGCGCCAGCTCGCGCCTTGACTGCGCAAGTCGGTTCTCAAACCGACATTGCCGTCCCCTTTAAACCCCCGGCCTCCCCTTACCCCTCCTCTTCCATTCGTCTCCGCGCCATAGCCGCCGCCCCGTGCTCTGTCTCACCTCCGCCGTCCTTCGCCGAGCGCCGGGAGAGCCGGTGCATTCGAGGACGCGGAAGGGGACTTCGGCCGCGCCCTCTCCTTCCCCTTCCCCGGCCCGAGGCCGGAGAGATTACTCCCGCGCCGTCGGCCTCTCGTCACAGCGCCCCTCCTCTTCTCGGTGATGTCTCTCTCCGTTCCCCCTCCTCGCTCCGTCTCCTCCCCCTAGCTTTCGGTAGTAGCTCGAATAGACCCCCCGTAGCTAGCCGGCGCCGCCCCAACCGTTGCCTTCGCTCGCCGTGTGCTCGCCGCCGTCGCCGCCCGAGCTCCGTAGCACCCGCTCGTCGCCGGCCTCGCTCGGCGTAGTTCCGCCCAATCCGACGCTAGCGTCGAGTTCCCGAAGCCGCGTAGATGCTCTCACCGCCGTAGATGCTCTCGTCGCCGTTTCCCTCTTCTTCCGCCGCCGGTTGCCGCCGCCGCAATCCGCCGCCGTCGAGCGACCTCCGGCGAATCCGAGCCGTTGGCTCGCCTCCCCCTGTCACGAACAACCGCCCGGTGTGCTCGCTTTTGCCCGTATCTCCGTAGTTCGCTCCGCCGCTCGCCGCCGCCGCCCGCCGTCCATTCACGGCCGGGTCGTCGTCTACCTCCCGCCGTCCTGCGTGGCAGCCACGTAGGCGCCACGTCGGCGCCAGCTCAGCTTAGACCGGGTCGAGCCGACCCCGGTCGGTCCCTCCCCGTGCGCGCGTTCCACCGCAAGCCGTGAGGCTGCGCGTGGGCCCGTCGCATCTGCGTCCGCAGCGGACCGCGCGCGTGCACCGCGTTCCTCCCCGCCCGCGCGCGTGCGCCGCGTGCTCCCTCCGCACGGTGAGCCGAGCCGCTGACAAGCGGGTCCCACCCGGGACCGCGCGTGGTGAGCCCGGTCCACCGGACTCTCTCTCCCCTCCCGCGCGCGCGCGCGCTTGGGCCGTTTTGGGCCGGCCGGACCATTAAGCTCGGCCGAGCCGCCCCAGATCCCTTGGGCCGCACCCTAGCCGCCCGAGGAAAGTCTAAATTTCCTCCCTCCTTCCTTTTCTTTCTCTTTTCCAAAAAAGGATTTAATTAAATAATCTTAGAAATTCAATAATCTTAGAAATTCTATATCTTCCCAACCGTAAATCCGTTTGACTCCGTTCAACTTCCAAAATTCATCAAATCTCGAGATCTATCTAGTGGCACGCTCAGAGGTCATTAATAGGGCTTTATTTTCACTGTTTGTTGAGTTGCCCCGTTTCGCGTGTAGTTTCGGAGCCCGAAGACCCGCAGTGCGAGGATTTCGAGGATCAAGCTCCAGATCTCGAGCAAGGCAAGCCACCTTTGAACACCTTGAGCCTATATTTGAAATTTAATTATGTTGCTTGCAAAATATTATGCATTGATAGGATCACACTTAATCTGTTGTCCCGTCTGCGAAGCAGATTGGCGGACTTACCTAAATTGTCGCATTTGATCCTTCCATTGTTAATTGCTATACCATGTCCCCTTGTAACCACCCAGTTGCGCCTCGATACTCGCGCACTCTGTGCGAGTACCGACGGTCGCCTTCAAACTTAAAATCTGAGTAACAACTTGGGTAAAACTGGAGTTTTCCAAAAGACTTGGAAAACCCGACACTTGGGTCGGTGCTTGCGAACTAAATGAATTTCCAAAACCGCGGACCGGGGAACGTACCGGGTGTACGGTTTCCCGCTCTCGCACTTAAGGACCGATTCCTTGGAATTTCATCCAAACATAAGACAAGTACGACCACATGGGTGGAATGGGACACCCCTGGCTGAGTAACTAGCTTATCAGGGGAGCCTTGATGCCGAGAGACATGTGGATTCGCCGGGGTGGTGTCGGGGAGGACCCCTGGGCTTCCTGGCACAGTATGGTCTGGGACCTAACCTGTTGTTGGTCTGGGACCCCTCTCGTCGGCATATGGTAAACCTGCATCGGCTTTCGAAATGCCTTGTCATGAAAGCTTGGAGGTCTCCCGACGTGGCTGATCCCCACGGGCTGGGTGACCCGGGTTAGTAATGTCGTGTGGGTAAAGTGTACCCCCTCTGCAGAGGTCATTAAACTGTTCGAACAGCCGTGCCCACGGTCACGGGCGGATGTGAGGTGATTCCTAGCGTAGTTTTGTTTGACTACTGCTTGTGAAATTGCTGTTGTGAAACTGGGTTCGATGTTTGGAAAACCTGCAGCTGATGGGATCAGCTAGGCCCGGGTGGCAGTTTAAAAGTTGTTGGCCCGGGTGGCCGTTCAAAAAGCTTTTGGCCGGGTGCCAACCTTGTTTCAAGATCTAAAGACTGACACATTGCACATACTCCGATCGGACGAGACGCACTGTCTCATCCGTGTCGTTTGAGAAGCACTCACTTAGTTGCCTTTAGAAAATAGTTCAAATAAAATCAATTGCAAAAACAACAGCCATTCCTTGAAGCCTGCATTAAACACTTATTTCCCCTGGCTTGCTGAGTACTCCCGTACTCACCCTTGCTCTATATAAATATCCCCCCCCTCAGTTGCTGAAGAAGATGAAGCGAATCCTGCTGATGAGGAGTTTTTCCAGGAGCAAGCCGGCTACGATGAGTTTTAGGGTTTCGGCCTAGTTCCCAAGTCGCGCCTGTGATTGTTTAGTCCAAGTCCTAGCTTCCGCTTTCTTTTTGTAATGCAGTTGTGAGCTCGGGATCTGTCCGCAGCCCAACATGACTGTACTTCTACTCTATAATGAAGAGACTTCTGTTGCTGTGATATTCTGTCTCCCTGTGATACCAGCACTGTTTCCTGGGACTGGTATCGATTAACAGGTTAATTTGGAGCGTCACGGGTTAGTTCCGGTCAGGACTAATTCGGGGCGTGACACCCGGCACGGTCGGGCCGGCAGGCCAGGCCCGGTACACAAAGTATAGGGACTAAAAATAGACATATAAATGTCATTGTCTAAAGAATAGGGACCTTAAATAGATTTATCGTAGCTATTTATATACCACAGCCCAAAGAAGAGGGAGGTAAAATAGACTTTTTTAGCTATACATATGTCACAGCCCAATAGGAGAGAGGAAATTTAGACTTATTCTGAGGAAAAGCACGATGGCCCATCGTGCCTTCGGGCCGGCCCGGCACGGCCCGAGGCGTGTTGGGCCGTGCCTGGGCCGTGAGTGCGGCATGTGGGCTGGCACGGCATGGCCCGGTGCGTCGGTCGGGCCGTGCCGGCCCGACAAGCCTCGGCCCAGGCACGGCACGGCCTGGCCCACATGGCCATCTATAGGGGGGGGGAGAGAGAGGGGTAGAGGGTAAAGAGCTTTGTCAGTAACTTTGTTATGCTGACGATTTTTTTTTTTTTTTGCCACGCTAGACACCCACGTGGGCTATTCAAATCCTAAATCACTTGCAACAGTGTCGTGAGGATTTTTCAACACTTGAGCTATGTAGGATCGGAGCGACCGATGTTGGAGTTCTATACATTTGATTTCGATTGAAACAGACGAGTGAACTAGGACCAAGTACCATGATTCAAAAGTTATACAAGACATGTACTCCACAGAATTAAGTACATCTACACATCGTGAAACATCAGTACGTCCCGGTCGGTTCGTCGGCGCTCGTCTTTGGTTGCTCCCGCGCGAACCGCTTCCAGTACCAGTGTCGCGCCCAGACGGTGGCCATGGACTCGAGCGGGACGCCCTTGGTCTCCGGCAGGAAGACGGCGATGAAGACGGTCATGACGGCGACCCACGCGGCGTAGTAGGCGAAGGTGCCGTACCTGAACCGGCAGAGCATGGCGAGGAACGACTGCGTCTGCACGAAGGTGAGGCCGAGGCCGATGGACACGTTCATCGCCTGCCCCGCCGACCGGATGTCCACCGGGAATATCTCGCCGGGGATCACCCACCCCAGCGGGCCCCACGACCACCCGAACCCCGCCGTGTGCAGGCACGTGAACGCCACCACCGCCACCGCGTACGGCCTCGCCATCGCCTCCGACCCGTTCTTCCCCACCTGCGCCCCCATGATCCACGCCACCCCAACCTTCAAGAGAAAAAAAAAGTTCAAGCCCGAGTACTACTGATGAAGTGAACGTTTTGGGCAATTGATTACCTGGGCGATGATCATGATGGCGCCGCCGACCATGAAGAGCACCTTGCGGCCGTAGCGGTCGATGACGAGGGTGGAGAGCATGAGGCAGACGAGGTTGACGGCGCCGAGGATGACGTTGCCCATCAGCGCGGCGTTGCTGCCGAACCCGACGGTGCGGAACACCAGCGGGGAGAAGAAGGAGATCACGATGACGCCCGTGAGCTGGAAGAACATGGGCATGGCCACGGCGAACACCAGGTAAGGGCGGTACTCCCGCCTCGCCGCCATCCGCCGGAACGCGCCGTCCTCCCCCTGGCGCGCCACCTCCACGGCGCGCACGATGCCCTTCAGCTCCGCCTCCACGTCGGCGCCAGCCCCGCGCACCCGGAGCAGCGCGGCGCGCGCGCGGGCCGTGTCGCCGCGCATGACGAGGCTGCTGGGCGTGTCGGTGAGGAAGAGCGCGCCCAGGAAGATGACGACGGCGGGCGCCCCCGCGAGGCCGAGGGAGAGGCGCCACCCCCAGGGGACGCGCGACGCGAAGTAGTTGGTGACGGTGGCGATGACGACGCCGACGGCGAGGAAGAACTGGAACCCGGCCGTGAGCGAGCCGCGCCACCGCGTCGGGGCCATCTCGGCGAGGAAGAGAGGAGCCGCCTGCCCATTTCGTTCGTCAAGAACCCACACGACACGATCGAACCCGTCGTGCTGCAACGCCCGGTGCACTCGTGTGATACTCGCGGCGCGGGACGTGGTTGGTACTAGTGATGCGTGACGCCACCGAGGCCAAGGCGCGGCATCTCGGCGGGTACAGGTCAGCGCACCAGGCCACCACCACCATCGGTGGATTAGTTGCACCAAATGTCGGAATAGGCCATGTGGTAATCGACCTAAGTACTACAGTATACTACTAGCTGTCTGTAATTAACTGCAACGTTCTTCATAGCTTAATCGCACTTAGAGTTTCATGAGTGGACTGACAGATAATTAAGAATACTAGTATACTACTACTTGGAGATCGCATTGGTTTGAGTCATTTGACGAATGGATTGGCTCTCGTTTTTTCTCTGTATGTGCGGATTCACCTGCCCTTATATTTAAGCCAAAAATAATAAAAAAAACACTTGGGATCATGGCAGTGGCTGCTTCGAAGCATATCCTGATATAATATAAAGATACTAACATAGCTGTCTGAAAGCAAATAGCAGATAAGTTCACCAATGAGCAATGATGATGGCTCCGTCTCTGTGTCTATCAGCCAAAGACTTTGGACAATCCGCTGACGCAGGATTAAGGGTGTCGCTCAATACTAATCGACGGTCAGACGCATTTACAGCATGGTGGAAGATGATGGAAGAGGTGTGACTGTGACACTGACCTGGTTGGTGAAGCCGACGCCGAAGCCGAGCAGCATGCGGCCGACGATGAGCATGGCGATGTTCACGGCGAAGCCGGTGACGGCGCCGCCGGCGAAGAAGAGCGCGCCGCCCATGACCATGACGGCCTGCCGCCCCATCGCCCTGGTGACGCGGCTGGCCACGAGCGACGCCACCAGCCCGGCGACGTACAGCGACGACGTGAACGCCGTCAGCGCCTGGCTGTCGTAGACGCAGTACTCGTTCCCGGGCCTCGCCTCCGCCATCCTCCTCACCACGCCGGGGAAGAACCGCCGCAGGAACGGCTCCATCGTCGAGACGCCGCCTTGATGGACGCAGAAGCAGGTCAGGTCAGTTAATTCCTTTGATAAGATCAGACTAATCGAGAGGCGCATGCGCGCGTGCACCTGAGATGCCGACGTCGTAGCCGAAGATGAGGCCGCCGGAGGCCGCCACGAGGCAGGTGATGACCACCGAGAACGTCAGCCGTCCGCCGTGGTCCACGGCGGAGCCATCACCGTCGTTCGCCACGATGACACCTCCGGCCATCTTGAATGTTCAGTCTCAGCCTTCTCCTCTCTCTCTCTCTCTTTCTCCCTCTGGCCTCTGTCTAAGAGGGAGCTAAACTGCGGTCAGATGAGCTTTCTTACGTTTCAGAGGTGTACATGAAAGATATATATGGAGTGTCAACTCGCTCTTAACCCCACTAGCTTGAATTTGAGGATCAGACAGATAGCTATTTGTAACAAGGTTCAAGGTATCACAAATTTCCATTGTTTGATTATTTAAGCTACCGATACCAAGTGCTCCTTTCGTGTGCAACCATTCCAACCATCTGACAAATGCTTTAAATAAGACACAACAAAAGCAAGTATATTCTATCTTGTCTTCCTGTGTTCAAGCCAACTTTCGAAAAATCATCAAGCCATTTTGGATTAAGGGATTATTTGAATTGATGCCTAACAAATTCTTACATTTTTTTACCATTTAATGGTACTGTTTGTTTTACTACAAAATTTGGTAATAGCAAGCTCACCACAGTGCCAAAACAAAATATAAGGATTTCTAGGATTCAAATTTTATAATATTCTTATGATTCTAAGTATTTCAATGATTTTATAGCCAATGATGCTTGAAAAGGGAATCCATGCAATTCAAAATTTAAAAAATTGACAACTGATGTGATTCAAAAGACTTTTAACCTAAACTGAATCGTTATATTTTTAACAGAGGAAGTACTTCCTACGGGTTACTGCTGCACTAGTAAGCGGGGGCCTTTACCCAAGGTTTGGTATTTTTTTTAGAAAGGAAAATGGTATGAGCTCTTTTCAATTAAGAAGTGTACGAAGAGAATCACACATGAAGGTTTCAAGTTGCATATTGAAATAAAAATTTGAGCAACAACTAATACATAACTAACCATTCCTAGTTAATTCCCATTTATATACGCCACTTACACCTTTAGACCTTATCTCTTGTTGAAAACTTCTTCGATTACGATTTGGTACTTTTTATTGATATATCAAACTAAACAATAGCATAAGCAACTCTCCCAAGATTTTGTCTTCAATTCGCTTTAATGGAAATGGAACACTGCAACTTTACTAAAATTCTAGAGCAGCGGACAAAATTCTAATAGTTGAGGCTCACATCGGCCGTTGAACAAAATTTTGGTCATTACAAGGGTAACAATGGTTGGCAACCCGAGTAACATGCCCGAATGACGAATCACGTCTCACATGATACATATAACTCCAACAAGATACAGATTTTTCCTCGTTACCACACCTTTTAAACTGCTAAACGGTATGTTTCGTGCGAAAACTTTCTACATAGAAGTTGCTATAAAAAAAATCAAATAAATCATTTTTTCAAGCTTTTAATAATTAAAATTTAATTAATTATGTGCTAATGATTTATCTCGTTTTGCGTGGGCACTTATCTTCATGCTTGTTAGATGATTTTATTTCATGCTTGTTGGATGATTTTGTGTCGTCTGAGCAGCTCAGATGAGGCAAAGCTTCAGCCACTCAGGACGCAAACCAACGCTGGGAAGTCTCCGCCTAGGAAAATCATTTAATTTGATAATTTGACCCTTTTCGAAAACTAATTTCGTAAATGAACCGTGGCCAAAACTTATTTTAAAAATTACCCTTTTGTTCAGCGTCAAATCATACGGCGTTGAACTTAGATACCTCAACACCACGTCAACTGATGCTGAATGATGTGCCACCACGGATGGGAGACTGAGTCGGTGTGCCAACATGCATTCAGTGACGTGCTATTTAGCGTTGATATGTCTAAGTTCAGCACCATATGATTTGGCGTTGAAAAAAAGAATTATTTTTGAAATAAGTTTTGGCTACAGTTTATTTGTGAAATTAGTTTTTGAAAAGTGTCCGATTGTCAAATTAAATGCAGAAAAAATCCTCTATCAGGGTGCAAAATTGGCAACCAAATAGCCCCGCATGAGTCATGATACCTAAACCGTCTCAATAGTCCGGGATGCACATCTTTCTACCGTACGTACGTGTCGTACTGAGAGATAGACCCTAAAGTACATATATAGGGATACATACACATATTGGTGGTACGGTATGGACTGTACGGCAGAGGATACTGTTAGATAGTCCGCCGTAGAGCCATCTTTTTAGACGATGAAAATGGTTTATATATCTTTAATTAGCCTCTAATGGTTTAATTATATCTTTTAATTTGCAGCTCTAGCCATCCGTTTCGGTATATCTCTGTCCTTTCTCTTGCTCCCTCCATTAAAAAAGGCGATTACGGTCAAGTTGTGTCTTTCTCTTTCACTTACTAGTCCACTAGGCACTAGCTAACCAAATTCGAGTATCAGAAATATAAAATTCAAAGTAGATTTACTAAAGTAGAGTTGAGTATACTACTCCCTCTGTACCAAAATATAAGTATTTTTAACATAATACCAAATCAAATATTTGTAACTTTAACTATTAATAGCAAAAAAATAAAAAAGATCAATCATATAAAATTGATGCTACTAGATTTATCATTAAACAAACTATCACAATATGCAACTCTTTTTATTTAAAACATTTTACTTTTATAGATAACGTTGGTAAAAGTAACATTTCGAAGATCATGTTAAAATATAAAAATGCTTATATTTTGAGACGGATGGAGCAGTAGACTAGTAGTACACTGATATATAGCGGAAGCACGTTCTTTCTACGATTGAGTATTGATAATTACCCATCCGTGGTACTATATCAATGATCTCAAAGTCACCGCGCGCAAGTCATCACCGATAACACAATATTTGTTTGAGCAAGTTGTCAACTGGTCCCAAGAATTTTGTGACCCTCTGAACAAAGTGACAAGGCTTATAATTGACTAGTTCAGCATGCATGACCGGCACGAAAGCTTATCACACACATCTTTATTAGTAAGTAAGTGTAGTCGTGGTACTTGTGTAGATCCACGGAGATGATTCGTCAACGGCGCTGCTCCGGTTTGCCGTCGCCGCCGCCGACGAACCGCCTCCAGTACCAGTGTCCCGCCCAGACGGCGCCCATGGACTCGAGCGGGACGCCCTTGGTCTCCGGCATGAACACGAGGACGAAGGCCGTCATGGCCGCGACCCAGCCGGCGTAGTAGGCGAATGTGGCGTACTTGAGCCGGCACAGCAGCGCCAGGAACGTCTGCGTCTGCACGAACGTGAGCCCCAGCGTGACCGACACGCTCACCGCCTGCCCCGCCGACCTCACCTCCACCGGGAAGATCTCGCCGGGGATCACCCAGATCAGCGGCGCCCACGACATCCCGAACCCGGCGCCCTGCACGCACGTCAGCACCAGCAGCGCCACCGAGTACGCCCTCGGCATCGCCACCTCCCCGTGCTTCCCGGACTTCGCCCCCATGATCCAAGCGTTCGCCACCTTGATCACAAAACAGCAATAATTCTAAACGACGGATGCAACGAACGTTACATACTTTGCATGCATGGTATGGTACGTACGCGTACTTACCTGGCACACGATCATGAGGGCGGCGCCGGCGATGACGAGCACCTTGCGGCCGTAGCGGTCGATGACCAGCGTGGAGAGGATGAGCGACGCGAACTTGACGCCGGCGAGGATGACCGCGCCCATCAGCGCCGCGTTGCTGCCGAAGCCGGCGACGCGGAACACCAGCGGGGAGAAGAAGGTCAGGACCATCATGCCGCTGAGCTGGTGGCACAGCGGCAGCGCGAGCGCGAAGGTCAGGTGCGGGCGGTACTCCCGCCAGGTGACCAGCCTCCGGAACGCGCCGACGTCCTCGCTGCCCCGCGCGGCCTCCACGGCGTGGACGATGGCCTTGAGCTCGGCGTCCACGTCGGCGCGGTGGCCGCGCACGCGGAGGAGCGCGGCGCGGGCGCGGTCCACCTTCCCGCGCATCACGAAGCTGCTCGGGGTGTCGGTGAGGAAGAAGGCGCCGACGACGATGAACACGGCCGGGGCGCCGGCGAGGCCGAGGGAGAGGCGCCATCCCCACGGGACGCGCGCGGTGCCGTAGTTGGTCAGGTTGGCGATGAGTATCCCCAGCGAGAGGAAGAACTGGAAGCCCACGGTGAGCGACCCGCGAAACCGCGGGGGCGCCATCTCGGCGAGGTACAGCGGCGCGGCCTGGTTCGTGAACCCGACGCCGAACCCCAGGAGCATCCGCCCGACGATGAGCATGGCGACGTTCACCGCGCCGCCGGTCATGGCGCCGCCGGCGAAGAACAGTGCCCCGCCCATCAGCATCACGCCGCGCCGGCCCAGCCACCTGGTGACGCGGCCGGCGGCCAGCGACGCCACGAGCCCGGCGACGTAGAGCGACGACGTGAACGCCGTGAGCGCGTGGCTGTCGAAGACGCAGTACTGGTCCCTCTTCGCGTCGGCCATCCTCATCAGCACCTTGGGGAAGAACGTTGCCAAGAACGGCTTCATCTGAGAGACGCCGCCTGGAACAAACAGTCGAGCACCATCAGAGAGATCATAATCGACCAAAGAATCCAAGCAATCCATCGTGGACGCGGATGCACAAGCTGGGAGAAGAACAAAGACCTGAGATGCCGATGTCGTAGCCAAAGATGAGGCCGCCGGAGGCCGCCACGAGGCATGTGACAAGCACGGAGAGCGTGAGCTCCCCGCTGTAAGCTGCGGCCGGGACAGCGCCGCCGGCGTCGAGGACACCTGCCGCCATGGCGCTTCCTGCTATCCTGTCCGCTGTCACACACCCCCTACAAGGTCGCGAATGCTTGCCACTGCCAGAGTGTAGACCACGAGGAGCAGCTCGTGGGTAAAGTAAATAAGTAATCTAATACGAGAAAGTATACATCTTCGTACTACGAATCTAAATCAAAATATAGTAATCTAGCTGTAATTCTTTACTTCTCTTAATACAAAAGTACGCAATCCTTTTGTGTATTCCCGAAAAAAAATTAGTAATCTAATATAGAATAAGATGTATTATTGTATTACGAATCTAAACATTGCGTACTATAAATATGAATATGGACATACTTATCTCACATTTCATTTATAGTATTAACATGTATCTCATCTTTGTTAATTTTTACTAGTACTCCGTATAACGGAAGGAGTTAACAGCTAGTACCAACTATAGAGGAGTCAACGACGACTTCCCTTTAGTCCTCGTACTAGTGAATAAAATGCATGACACTTGCACCAGCCAAAGAGTATTTTAAATCGAGCATTCATCTATTGCTCAAACTTCAAATCATCGATAGGTATGTAACACTATATATATAGAGAGATCACATGAACTCACTACTAAACAATTACACAAATCCATGCTAAAGGACGGAAATCTTTGCGGCCGGTGGAAGTGCTTCACGAAGGATGTTGTTTGGCGGTCTGACGAGCAAAGTTGCAGTCTTGCAGAGAACAGAGATATTCGTTCTTATGATATTCATCCTTCCATATTCTTTCAGCTGTATCCACAGTTATGACTTCTAGTCCAGGTGCATTTTCCATGAGATGCAAAAGAAACTCAAGTTGTCCTCTGGACCCTTTGAATCCAGTGACACGCACTTTATTGAGATATTTGTATTCACTCGGCCCAAATTCATGTCCGAGAGGACCTTCATGCGCAAGCCATAAAAAGCCACTGATAAACTGAAAAAAAAAAACAATTTTACCAACCAGCTCGAGGTATCAAAATTTTGTATGTAAAATGTGATACCTCGAGATACCAAATGTTGTATGGTAAAATTGCTCAAATTAAAACTAGATGCTTTGTCCTCGGACCAAGTTTGCTACTGTTTTCCGTTGCCTGTCCACTCCGCCGGCAATGGAATATCAATGTATTAAAATCCTTCCGCAAATCGTTAGAAATAGCAAAACTAACACTGGCATTTTCAGTTGATGCTGTACGCGCAGGAGAATCGTTGTCTGTCGTATCGATATTCCAGATACATCACAGGTAGTGATAGTATGTTATGAACACCAGGATGGTCAGATGCCATAACCCGTGTCGTAACAGTATTGCAGATACAACGCAGTTAACGATTGTCGTTTCGTACAACAGGATGGTCAGATGCCTAAGGCCGCAAGATCATTGATTCAATCCGACTTGGGGATTGCACTCGGGAGTCATCATCATGCTTCTGAAGGTCAGCACCTCAAATGTGAGCTGCAAAGGGAGGCATGATTAGAATTCAGAAGTTGTAAGTGAATACTCCCTTTCTCATATTATAAAAAGCTTTGACTTTTCCATAAGTAATTTCTTTTAAGTTTGATTAAGTTTACGAAAAAATGTAGAAACATATACAACATCAGATTAGTTTAATTAAATCTAACATTGAATATATTTTGATAATATGTTTGTTTTGTATTGAAAATGTTGCTATGTTTTTCTATAAAGTTTGTCAAACTTAAAGAGGTTTGATTTAGAAAAAAAAGGGTCGAAACATCTTATAATATGAAATAGATGGAGTATAGCATTTACGCTTCTGCACTATCAAAACTTAACAATTATTGGTAATGAATGTGATAAAAGAATTGGCTTTTTTTTAACAGAAAAGCACGGTTACTTGAGAAAGCATCAGGTACCAGTAGTATCAAATATATGTAGATGCAGTGAAGTGCTTAATCACAGAACTGACCAATCGTTAGTGATTGCCAGAAACCAGATCGTATTATATTGATATAACCCACATTTTCTAGATTCGTGAGTTCAAACCAGCATTTTAGAACCAATTCATTGGATCAATTGTTTGGAAGATCAACCTTTCCAAACACTGCAAAGCAGCTACATTTGACATACAACAAGTCAAGGACGGCAAGCATACGAAAGTTGCAGTATGGTGCTAGAGGAGTTCAAGTTTCAGGTCTGACAACTGAGAATGCTATTCACCAAAAGTAAAAGTCGCTGAAGCACTACTCTAGCATTTTAGAACATTGCATGCAGTCCTTGATGGATTATTCATGCAGACATATAATTACTATTAGAAAATACAATAAGTAAAAAAAGGGAAACTATATTACCTTCTAGCCAAATGCATAAGGATCTTCGGCATATGGATTCAACGAGCCCTCAGAAAACAATTCACCAATGTTTGCAGGGTGGGGATGGGATCCAGCAACAACCTGGAGAGTGAAGAAGCGTAAATGTTAACAAAAGTTGAGCAAAAGCATCTGGGAAAACCAATATTCTGGATGCATGTTTTCGGATAGACTCTGATCGAATTCCACCACATGAGCAATCACAAATTTTCAGTCATTTAGCGAGAGAATAAAACTGAGTCAACACTATCTAATAAATGTATGCTGTACCATCAAAGTAGTAAGTCAACTACAAATGTTCTTACAACAGAAACATCTATGAGAACAGGCATTCCTGAATATATCACATAGTACAGATCATAATTCAGAAAATGATATAGTACACAGAAAATATTTCAATTCTATAAAAGTATCCCTATATGCCCAAAAACAAAAAACAAAATTACAGAGGTCAATGAATCTACTTCCTCCGTTTCATAATGTAAGTCATTCTAGCAATGCTCACATTCATATGGATGTTAATGAATCTAGATATATGTCTATGTCTAGATTCATTAACATCTATATGAATATAGGCAATGCTAGAATGACTTACATTATGAAACGGAGGGAGTAGTTTAGACATGCATATGGAAAGAAGTTGGCGAACACATTTAATCACACAAATATACCTTCTTCATTTTTGTAGGATCCTTGTCAGCAGTATCATGCAATGACTTCTGAGTGTTGGGTTCCTGAATGGGAGAAAAAGGCTACTGTTAACATGATTACAAGAATGAAATACTAGACCACCAATCAAATGCAAAGGAGAAAAAAGAGAGGAAAAACCTGTACCCCAAACATGACGGTGCTCTTAGTTTTCCTGCGCTTTGTGATTCTTCCATTTGCTGTCTCAACTTCATATTCATGATGTGTTACCTAGTTAAAAGGACACCGAAAACATGTCACATGAAAACATGTATTTTACAGATTAATTCATTCAATTAGTGAAACTTGATACATTCTCTAATAAGAGAATGATGAATCTAAATGTAAAATGATTCACCTTTCTATGCTTAGGAATATCCTGGGTTCCTTTCTCTACCTTTCTCAGCATGTTTGTAATTGGTGATTGTATAATGCCAGATAGATTAACATCCTGGTAGTAGAACATGCGAATTTAGAATTTGTGCAATGAAGCATGCAGTGATAAAGTCAACGTTTAAAGAGAGATGTCTTACCTTCCGTTTGGTCTCAGGACTAACCAACTGAAGCTGATGTTCTTTTCTGATATATGGATCTCTCCTCTTTATTGATGAAACAGAGTATTCCTAAAAAAATAAAATATGTATGTCTTAACTCTTAAGGAGAGCATTGGCACATACAAAACGTAAACGGTGAAACAAATTACAAAGAACCAATTATAAGATTAACAAAAACTGAAAATAATGCATGATATGGACTATATCAGCCTTTCTGGTTCTGCCCCAACATGAGCACGTGACCAAATCATGGTAACCATTTTTAAAGATATTTTCCATTTTTACCTGAATTTGTAAGATATGTTTAAGGAGCTCTTTGGGAAAATCTAGCAAGAATGAGATGTATGAACATCTGGTATTATAATCCAAACAGGTGAAGAAAAATGTTTTTTCTTTCATTTATTCTTATCAAAAAGTGTCATACTGGGACTTAGGGGTTGAACAAATCTATGGTCAAGATCGTGAAAAAAAAAAGTCAATAGTATTTCACTAGTTTGCAACTAGCACCTCTACAGATGAACCAAATCGCACACACAGGAACCTATATGCAAACACAGCAAGTTCAGAGTTTGCAAGGCATGAAATAAATAATAGGATTGTAATGAAAAATAAAAGGCCAAAATGGCGCATCAAAATCTACAACATAAAGTCTGAAACAAATACTATTTCTGCTCATAATAAAAAAGGAAAGCAAAGTGTGATGTGTTAAAAGATAACTAAGTGCACAGAAATTTGACACAATAGTAGTTTTTTTAGAAGTACTCCCCACAGTCATGTATATCTGAGTTAGGAGTCATATATATATATATATATATACATGAGAGTAAGGAACAAACTTGATTATGTTAAAAAGTTTTGCATGCATCAACAGCCAACTCGAAAGTTAAAACAGAATGTTTTCATAATTACCACATAGGGATTAAAATCTCTCTATTATGTATGGTTTAGGAATATATTGACAATATCAAATAAAGAATTAAAAAGCATGGAAAATGAATCTTATCCTTTACTTTCCATTAATTTATCCAATCAAATCAACCAAATGACTCATTCCTAATCTTCATCTAATTTTTCTTAATAACAATCCACAAGGAAATAATGGTTGTGGTAGAAAATGTCAAACCTGGAAAAAAAACCAATTGTCTTGACCTACATATTCGAAATACAAGCCACAAGGCTTTATAAATTAATGCCAAACCAAGTCAAAATACTCAATTTCTTGAATTTATTGTTACATGAAATAAGCAGCAGCATTTCAATTAGTGAAACATATGCACTTGCATCTTTATATTAAATGCTTAGCATGCTATGCAATTAATATAACATAACTTAAATATGAATTGCTTAAAAATAGTATATGAGATAGAAATCAGAGAATACCTTCTTAGAGTTTACTTCTTGATCAACCTGTTGGGTTTCGCCCATTACTTTCCATTGTAACTGTAACAATGCTCTTTGCTTCTCCTCCTGAAAAAAAAAAGTGTTCAGATATATTTTCAAGTAACGATTTCCAGAACAAGAAGATCACCAGAGTGACTACCTTTGACTTCTGAAGCTCCAGTTCATCCTGAAGCTTCTGACAATTTTCCTCATGCTTTTTAGTCAATGATTTCATTTGAATTTCATGATCCTTTCTGAGCGATGACAATCTCTGCATATTTGATCCAGATTTAATTAGTATGAACAATCATCATCAAAACATCTGGTGGAATTTATTACTGACCTCCCTCAATTCATTCTCAGCCTGAGATTGGATGCGCTGGAGTTCTTCTTTATGATAAGCTCGAAGAGTTGATTCCTTATGCTCATTATCCTGCTGAATTCTTGCAACCTAAATATCAAGAAACAACTTTCATGGTCATTTTAGAAGAAAAACAGTCTAATTTCAGACTTTCCGCTGAGGTAGTGTTCAGTGCTTCCCCACTCCAGAGGTGGGATCCTTTAGACAATAGTTTCAATCTTCAACAAATGGAAATTCATTAGTGGCAGGATTCTACAGATAGTGATGAAAGTTTGACTCTCAAAATTTACAGGAACATATTTTTACAGAGACTTTTCACTGCACCCCTTTTACTTTATGTAAAAAAATATACCATCTCAAAACTGCTGCAAAACCAAATGGAACATCAAAATTATATTAGAATAGATGTGTAAGTCCTACGGCCATAAAGTTGTGTCAAATACATTCTCTGCAGCTCTGCTCAAATATCAGATGACATTTTTGACTTATTAAATCTTAAGAGAACCATGAAATCAACCAGTAAAGTCCAAATACCATTTACATTAACAATGTATATTGATGAAATATGATAGATCATACTTTGATGTCATGTTTTGTGCCTAGTGCAAATTAAATAAAAGACAGGCAAGGAGAGCATTACCTAAAGCACCTTCAAAGAAACTTTGCAACACATATAACTACCAAGTGGGTGTTTTGGACAAAGCATATTAAAAGCACACGTAGAAAGACCTTGAGTAACCTTTTTAGGTTACTAATCCTCTGTAGCGGAATGCAGCATAGCAGAACATGAACATCCACAATGCAATTATGTATCCATGCTATCAACACCTTGTTCAAATACTAGAGCTAACATTTCCAATGGAAACTGGCGCATGTGGCTCCACTTGGCTCAGTTTTTTCCCTTAAAAACTGCAGCTTTTTTCAATTTTAGGATTTGATTTTAGCATTAATTTTAAAGGTTTTTATTCACTTTTATTGCCTAGCTCTCTTTTCATGATTGCTACCAAGACAAATAAACAAACTTCAACCTAAAATAATTATTAATAATCATTTTCAAATTTCAAAATTAGCATTGTTATCATAACTAATTGTAAACTTCACTTTTTTTTTTCAAAACAGCTTAACTTTAATGGACAGATCCAACCAGTACCACCTACCATTGAGCCATGCTCCTCCTTTAGACACATCAAATACCTCTCAGAATCTTGCCTGTTTTCTGAAATCTTTTCATTGCATTTGTTTTCCATTTCCTTTATGAGCTTCTCGGCCTAAATATTTTTCAACATCCAGAAAATAGATAGAGAATAAGATCAAACTCAAAACAGCTAGCATAATAACTTTGAAAAAAGAGGTTAACTTACCTTTTCTTTTTCAATATTAATGATTTCTACCTTTTCTAGTTCATATTTCCTACGGATTTCATTGATTGCCTGCAAAAATGCACTTTTCTAACTGTCACTTGTGATTGATATAGCAAAGTGTCATACAGGATACAGCTGATAGAAGCGTAATACCTGGTCATTTTTCAGTGATAATTCTTTCAGATGCTTGGACAGCTCTATCTTTTTACCTTCAAGCATGATATCATACTGTTTTTTTGCCTCAGTAAGTTGGCTTTCTGTTGCAGCAAGTGATGCTTGGACCTGGCAGTAGACAGAAAAGATTGTATGTTGTCTATAGATCATTACAATGAGATTTAAAGTTCTAATAAGCACAGACCTGTAACTTCTGTTCCTCTAAATTCTTCTCTCTTTCTACAGCACAAGTGTGTAGTTGTTCTTTCTCATCAATAATACTGCAAAGCTGATTGACCTGGTTCTCAAGTGTCTCAACCTGTTGGTCACGCTTAGCTATCTCTCCTTGCAGAGATTCCGTATCATTAGACTTCTCATTCAAAACAGATTGCACTCGACCTAGAAGCTCCTGATTATCTGATTCTAGCTTCAGAATCTTCTGAAGCAACTCTTGCTGCAAAATTCAAACCTCATGAATCTTACAGGTTAAATAGCAATATGTTTTGTCACTGAACAGGCTAGGACACAAACCTTGTGATTTTCAGCAGATCTAGAATCCTCCAGAAGTTTTTGAACCCTCCCTTCTAGGTCAGAAGCTACCTTTTCTAGCTGACTAATGTTGGAGGCAGAAATTTCTGCTTCAGACTCCAATCTTCTGATCTTATCTTCAGCAACTTGGCATTCTTCTACATGTTGAACCATGACAATCTCTTGAGTTTTCTGCAGCTCTATGATTCTGGACTTCAGCTCCTCGATTTCAGTTTGGAGAGCATTGTTTTCTGATATCAAATTTACATACTGATTTTGGAGATGTTCAAATTTGTCCTTGGCAGATTTTATCATCAACATTTTTTCCTCGTGAACCTTTCCATCATATCTCTCAAATGAAGAAATCAACTGAGTGACATGACTTGAAATTGATGTGTGCTCTTTATCTAGCTCAGTTACCTTAACCGTAAAACCACTAAGCAATTCATTAAGCTCCTTGTTGTCCTTGGATAGTTTCTGAACTTCCAAAGTGTAGCCCTCGTTCCTAAGCTTCAAGTCATTCTTTTCACTTTCAGTGCTTGCCAGGTTTTCTTTCAGACAAATGCAAACATCTTCTTTTAGCTTCAACTCTTGCTCCATGCATTCCAAACGGGAGTCAACATACAACAGTCGGGCTTTATTTTGTTCAATGGAATCTTCCAACTGTTTGATGAGAGAATCTGCATAAAAGATGGACACAGTTGTGTTACTACTTTTTGTTTGTGCTAATACACCGGATGCACATGAATGGAGTATACAAAAAATTTTCAGTGGACTATCGCACCATAGCTAACTTAATTTCTGTTTAGTCATGATGCAATTTTTAGTATTAGATTCATACTTTTTTCTCTTATGGTAGTATCACTTGCATATAGCTGTTCCTTGTAACTCTGATCCATCTCTTCTTTCTCTTGTTTGATCCGCAACATCTCCTGTTTCCCTGTGTCAATGAAACAAATGAAGCATTACTACCTAATTGCAGCACATTATTATTCACAAATCATGTCAAGAAACATGGAACTGCAAAATAATCATGGTTTAGATGACATAAACAGAAGCACAGCAGATAGTGATCCCCTAGCAGATCTACAGTCTCCAGTAGCAAGTTACTGAATTGACAGACATTCTAAAATACTAGTGCTAGAGCTGACGCGTGAAGAAACTGACCAACCTGAAATGATCATTTGTTCTGCACATTCCAGTTTTATTGATGAATCGTGCAACAGGCAGTTGAATTCTTCAAAAGCTTTTGAATTCTTGCCAAGAATCTCCTCAAAAAACTTCTTATCTTCCTCAGCTGCCAATGCGTTGTTTCACCAGTTAGATCTATACAGCACTCATGCATGAGTAAATGGAAACATTACCTCTTTCTGTCTGACTAGCTAACTGCTGCAGAGTTTCTGTCAGTTGATTGCACAAAGTCTTTGTTGAGGAAACTTTTGAATCTAATCCCTGCCAGAGCTTTGAATCTTCAGTCTGTTTCACCTTAAGCTTTGCATTTTCATTGACAGCTTGTTGGAGCTTTGCTTCTAACAGATTTATCTGTTCTGTTGCTCTTCTCAACTTGGTATGCTAAAGTTATATAGAGCATAGGCATCAGTAGTAAGAAATATTATGTAAACAAGTACAATATGTTCCTGTACAAAACGATGATATATGGTGATATATCTGTTCAGGACTTGAGTCAATTTACCTTTTATCCATGATATAACTAGAACATTTGCACCATGAAAGATGACTACAGTAAAGATAATATTGCCATATACTGAACATGGAAGGGCGCAAGCTTATGTTCAAAGCTCAGGATATGGGACAAATGAAATGGAAGGCAGAAATTGCTTGATCTCCAATGTGTTTAACAGAAACCACAGAGGATAAAGCACCAAAACATTCTAGTTTTTCCAGGTACAAAGTTCAAATTTATAAAAATACATAATTCCAGAATGTGACTCTGTCATGCTGAATAGTGAAAACTGATGATATACAGCATCCAACATCCTTTAAGTAGAAAACTGTTTCAATTTTCAGCACGACTGTGTATTTGTAAATTCTGAGGAAAGTAATAGGAATAACAAACACAAAGTACAGTCATGAGATCCACACTATCTACATGCAGCCCTAAAATTATACTACCTCCGTTTTTTAATAGATGACGCCATTGACTTTTTCTCACATGTTTGACCATTCGTCTTATTCAAAATATTTAAGTAAATATATTTTCTTTTGTCGTGGTTTGATTTATCACTAAATGAACTTTAAGCATGACTAATATTTTTAAGATTTGTATAAAATTTTTGAATAAGACAAACGGTCAAAGGTTGTAACAAAAGTCAACGGCGTCATATATTAAAAAACGGAGGGAGTAAGAATTTGATGCTTGTGAACTGCCTACAATGGTAGAAGATTTTTATTGACATGTTGGTAACTGGCATGCGTGCATAGTTACCAGTTACTCGATTCAAAGCTAATAAGGTAGCTCCAGGTGTGTGCACAGTTCATTGGTTTTACCTACTGCTGGTTTCAGTAGTCCACAAAATCATGATAGGATTCCCTGACAGAATTGGGAATAGAAAACTACCCCTATGTTACAGTGGAGAATCCAAAACAAAATTTACCGGGGTCTCAAACATACTAATTATTTAATTATTTACCGATTATACTAATTATCATGACATAAATTAGCTAGAATTAGATAATCTACCCGGGGTCCTAGGACCCCTGTAGACTACACATAGGTACACCCCTGCCTATGTATGTATCATGCCGCCAGGATTATATAACTGAAACAGCCCTACTAACATAAACAACTTTGCAAGTTTGACATTGATCAATCAGAAGACAGTTTTTCTGCTATTAGGCATTATAACCACAATTCCACAAAGGCAGTGCCAGATATATCCTAATATCCAGAAATCGAAACTGTGACAGGAGCACAAGACAACCGAACTATATACCCCATCCAGTAAAATTTCCATAAATAATGGTAAACGCTGAAAAATATACCGTCATTTCTAGATCAGTCTTCACTGAAGCCTGCTCCTTAACCAGCTTTTCTGTGATCAAGCAATAAAATTGAGGGAAAAATCAGTGAACGCACGAAGTAGCCAGCCTCCCTCTAAGGAAACAAGGGGAAAATGAAACCAAAACCTGCTGTGATCTTAAGATTGGCGAAGCTCCCGTACGTGCTCCCTCCAATATCGGACGACGGCTTGGGGTTCGGGGCCTTCGCGGCCGTCGAGGTGGATCCAGCGAGAGATCGGAACCCCTCGAGACCCCTAAGCCCCGATAAACCCAGCTTCTGCATCCTGTCGTCGAAACCCTAGGGTTCGCCGGCGGCGGCGGAGCTGCAGAAATTCCCTAGCGTGAGTACACAAAGCACCCAAAAAATGCACCAAATCGCAAATACGCCATAGCGCGCCGCTTACCGATCAGGGCGTAGGAGGCGATTTGGGGTACCACCTCGCAACAATAGCTTCGCCCCCACGATCCCCGAAGCGTCGAGAAGCTTCGAGATTGTTCGAAACTGGAACGGAACCAATCGAGTGCAAATGTGCAATCAGTGTGGACTGGGAAGAGGAGATGTGCGATCGATCAAGTGGAGAGGCGAGAAGCGGAGAGCACTAACCGATTTGCGGATCGAGTGGCTCTGAACGCAGCGGCTTCCAAAACCCTAGCCTCTCCTGCAGAATGCGGATGATTCCAGAAGCTTCCAGGGAACCCGAGGCGTAAGCTAGCGATCCCGCCCTCCGATCGAACCCCGGGCCTCCGCCGAGCTAACGAGGACGCACGCAGCTCCGATCCCCTAGGCTGTATCGAGGAGAATCGCGAGACTTCTAGAAGCGTCTAGAGATTTCTAAAGCGAGAGGGGATCAAGCGGAAGGGGAGGGGAGGGGAGGGGAGGGGAGAAGATGACGCGTTTGAATTGTCGGTTCGGCGCCAGGTCGAAAATTTATAAGGGCGGCGGGGAGAGAACAACGGCCGGCGACACAAGCAGAGCAGCAGATATTTTTGCTTCGTACTACTACAGTCGCACGAGATTCCAGGGGCTTTTAACTATTTGCCACTCTTACGGATGTTGCTTAACGATTTGCCACTAGGCCCACATGTCATAGACACATGAGGGCCCACATGTCATTAACAGGGTGTGGCAAATCGTTAATTGCCATGTCACAAGAGTGGCAAATAGTTAAATTTCCCAGATTCCACTAGCCAAAGAGGAATGACGCGAACACCACCGCTGGTCGCAGGAGGTTTACTGCTGTAATAAAAATCGTGAAGTGGTAGTGAGAATGATGCACTCATACAGTACGGCTGTGCTTAGATCCAAAGTTTGGATCCAAACTTCAGTCATTTTCCATCACATCAACCTGTCATACACACACAACTTTTCAGTCACATTATCTTCAATTTTAACCAAAATCCAAACTTTGCGTTGAACTAAACACAGCCTACAGAGTACTACATCAACAATGGCCTTGTTTGGATCCTCCGAACTATTAAATAGCCCTCCGGAATCTTGCTATTTAGGAGTATTAAACATAGATTACCGACAAAACCGATTCCATAACCCCTAGGCTATTTTGCGAGACGAATCTAATGATATATATTAATCTATGATTAGTGGCTGATTACTGTAGCATCCCTGTAGCAAATCATTGATTAATATACCTCGTTAGATTCATCTCGCAAAATAGCCTAGGGGTTATAGAATGGGTTTTGTCAGTAATTTACGTTTAATACTTCTAAATAGCAAGATTTCGGAGGGCTATTTAATAGCCCTCCGGATCCAAACAGAGCCAATGATAAAACTAAACAGTTCTGTGTCGTTTGAATTGTACAGACAAATTCAACACCAGATGACCCTCGTAGGTCGTAGCCATGGTCCAGGACCCCCTCTCTCAAGTGGAGTGTCTGTCGGCCTACCACCTCCACTCATGAATCATGAGCGGCCATCATCATTGCCCCCTCGGTATGTTTGGTATAATCTGGTAAATGACCGTCTTCTCTTTTAGGTCTCTTTGATTTGGAGAAAAAACATAAAAATTTTGAAGGATTTCAATCATATAGGAAAAATTCCTATGAATATCTTTGAATCAAATGATTGAATCTTTTCCATTCCTTTGAAATTATTATGGAATAGACAATCTTATAGACAGTGTTTAGCAAATGACAAAGGGAAATGATTTTCCACCCATCTTTAAATTCTAACCATTCATTATCCCTCTACCATTTAATCCTAACCCTTCATTCATTTCCCAATCCCAATCCCACCCCCCATTTCCCATTATCCAAATACACCCATAGAGATTTTTGAGGAAATTTAGCAAGAGCTCCAACCTCTTGGAAAACTTTCTTTGAGTCTATCTCTCTCATCCGATTCTTGCGTTTTTCCTGCGGTCCAATCAAACGATAATTCCCGTGTTTTTCATGTGTTTTGCAATCCTCTGTTTTACACTTCAATTCCTTTGAGAATCCTGTGTTTTTCCTATTCCGCCATTTTTTCCACCCTGCGATTCAAAGGGGCCCTTAGCTCGTGAGAATGTGAGTATAAGGGGAAAAATTGGATAGAAGATTCTGAAGATGCAATACATAAAAGAGTTGTTTTTAGACATGAGAAAGAATGGATGGAAAATTTAGGGTACTTTTGAATTGTGTCGGTGATATGGGCCGGGGGTATCATGTTTAGAGGGAGGAGGCTGCCCCCCAAGGCCACGTGGCCCTCCCCCGAGGGGAGTGAGGCCCGAGGTAGGGCGGCGGCCACTCCTTCCCAAAGACTAGTCGGAGGAGGCTGCCCCCCAAGGCCACGTGGCCCTCCCCCGAGGGGAGCGAGGCCCGAGGTAGGGCGGCGGCCACTCCTTCCCAAAGACTAGTTGGAGGAGGCTGCCCCCCAATGCCACGTGGCCCTCCCCCGAGGGGAGTCAGGCCCGAGGTAGGGTGGCGGCCACTCCTACACAGACTAGTCGGAGGAGGCTGCCCCTCAATGACACGCGGCCCTCCCCTAAGGGGAGTTAGGCCCGAGGTGGGGTGGCGGCCACTCCCTCCCAGAGATTGGACGGAGGAGGCTGCCCCCAATGCCACGTGGCCCTCCCTCGAGGAGGATCGGGCCCGAGGTAGGGCGGCGGCTACTCCCTGGCCGAGACTAGAGGGAGAAGGCTGCCCCAGGCGCAACGTGGCCCTTCCCCGAGGGGGGATCGAGCCCGAGGTTGGGCGGCGACCGCCCCCTCCCGTGACTAGGGATCGGGCTCCCCCGACCCCCTCTCTAGGTCACCACGTACGGTGGGTTAGGTGTCCGCCTCTAGGTCCCCACCTACCCGCATTAATGGCGACCCGAGCGGTCGCGCCACGCCACATTTAATGCGGTGTGCAGTGCACTCAACCGTTCTGTGACCGGTCGAATGACTGATGGGACCCAGGATGTCAGACGCACCATCGCGTGTGTCAGGCGACGTGCAGCCCGACATATCCCATCAAATAATGATGGTGAGAGGTTCTCATCCTCTTATCCCAGCCGGAGTCGGTCTTCCCGCTCTGGTCAAAGCAAGGCTCCCGTTTTTCGGTGTAATAGGAGCCCAGAAGTCTTCACCCATTAAATGGTGATTGACAGGGGCACCCCCCGTGTCAGGCGGTAAGATTTGACAGGCCCCATCATCAAGACGACGTGCGCTTAGCTTCCCAAGTCAAGAGACAAGACATGCATTTAATGCAAAGATTATAATACTTCTCTACCAGAGCTAAGTTAGATTGTTGGGCCCATGTGGTAACCTCTTGAGGTATAAAAGGAGGTCCAGGCCTAGTGGTGGAGGAGGGGGGACTTCCGAGCGAACTGGCGCTTGAGTCTCGCAGCCCCAGGCACTTGTGTTCTACACTCGACCATAATCCCAAACACAGGAGTAGGGTATTACGCTTCTTAGCGGCCCGAACCTATATAAACCCCTTTTGTCTCATCGTCTTTGGGGGATTGAACCCCCTCAAGATCACACAGCTTCGCTCACCGAATCCTCGAATCTCACCCGCTGCCCCCGGCCGAACTCACAAAAAGGGGCCTCACGGTTCCCTGGTGGAGGAGTTCATTCTCCGACATTTGGCGCACCAGGTAGGGGGTGTGTTCGTGATTTTTGAGGTTCTTTCGAGTGCCGGCGCGACGAGCGTCGCACCGCCGATGCTGGGGAAGGCGCAGCCTCCTCGGGAGAGCCGCGCCACCCCAGGCAGGGGGCTAGGCCTCCCACTTCCTCACTGGAAAAGGCTAGCGGCCAGGCCTTTGTGGCGAGTCTTCGGAATGTCCGATGGCCCCTAAAGTTTCGACACAGCCTCACCGAGAAGTACGACGGCGGCGTCAACCCCTCCGAGTCCCTCCAGATCTGCACGATGATCATAGAGGCGGCGGGGGTGATGACCAGGTCATGGCGAGCTTCTTCCCCATGACCCTCAGGGGCCAAGCGCGGGGTTGGCTCATGAACCTGCTGCCTGCCTCGGTCTACTCTTGGGAGGACTCTTGCAGTTGAGCTCCGGGTGCCGTCGAAGCCCGGGACCCTCTATGCTGGTTCTTCCGTAGCGGCTAGCTTTGGTCCCGCCGGCTGGCTATGGTGCCCGGCCCGGCTCAACTAATCATCCTTTCAACCTTCAAGTATTTTCAATTTTTCAATTCATCAGCATAATATAGCTTGAAGTCTTATATTTCTTTTCCCCCATTCTTTTCTCATGGCCCTGCGACGCTCGCGTGTTGCGCATTCGTTTGCTTCCTCGGTGGTAAGAGCCCAACCTCTCTCTCATCTACATGAACGTTTCCTCGCCAAGTATGGGGGCTAAGTTTTCTAGCCGTATTCCAGCCTTAAGTTGAGCTCCGGGTGCCGTCGAAGCGAGGGACCCCCTGTGCTGGCTCTTCCGTAGCGGCTAGCTTTGGCCCCGCCGGCTGGCTACGGCGCTCGGCCCGGCTCAACTGTAGACAGGGATCGCTGGCTCTAGAGTTTTTCGGCTCTCACACTCGTGCGAAAGTAGTCGTCCGTGTAGAAGGGAGAGATATTGGAAGGAGGCCACCGAAAGGAAAGAGCAAACATAATGTGTAGCGTGGGGACACAGGCTCGTGGGAACCTGACCTCGTTTGCTAAGTGATCACAGGCTTCCCAAGATGGTTCGGAACCCATGGTGGGGGCTCTCTTCGAGCTAAAGGTTTAAAAGATCGCGACATGCAAGCAAGGTTTGTGTTTTCTTCATTCATACAAGCAATTCTTTGCTATAAGTGTGGGGCTACGATTCCTAGCTCTATCCTAGCCCTGCGTCGAGCTCTGGGCGCCGTCGACGCCTAGGGCCCCCTGTGCTGGCTCTTCTGTAGCGGCTGGCTTTGGCCTTGACGGCTGGCTACAGCGCCCAGCTTGGCTTGATCGTGGGTGAAGATTGTTGGCTATGGAAAATTTAGTCCTCGCACTCGCGCGAAGATAATCGTTTGCATAAAATTATTATTGCTTATATTTATCTCTCGCCCATCTCTTTCTCGCGGTCCCGCGGTACCCACGTGTCGCACGCTGGCTTGCCTTCCTTGGTAACAAAAAGTTTATATTCGCTTCATCTATTCAAATGATTCTTTGCTAAAAGTGTGGGGGCTACGATTCCTAGCTCTATCCTAGCACTACGTCGAGCTCTGGTCGCCGTCGACGCCCGGGGCCCCCTGTGCTGGCTCTTCCGTAGCAGCTAGCTTTGGCACCGCCGGCTGGCTACGGCGCCCAGTCTGGCTTGATCACATGTAAAGATTGCTGGCTATGGGAAGTTCAGTCCTCACGCTCACGCGAAAATAATCATTTGAATAGATGAAGTAGAACACCAACAGAGGTTAACAAAAGGCAGGGGCTAGCGAGGTACGCGGCGTAAGGTCACGGGCCCGAGAGAATCTAACAACGTTTGCAGAGTATATACAGGAAATAAGTTCACGGCCTA